CGTCGTCTAGCAGTAATCAGATTCTACTTATGATGCACAACATGCTACTTGCAGAAGCTATATTTTTAAATTGAGGAATTCGAAAAATATTTTTGGAATTTCCTGTTCCTCAGTTATAAGCAGTTTATGATTCCTCCCTAGAGTCTCGCACAGCCAGAGAAAACCGTTAAAATATAGAGGCAAAGGCAAAACATATTATAGAGCAATATAAGTGCTTATCAAATATCGCCATAGGGAAGAAATACTACCCACAGAAATATCTTCTTGTGCCAAGAGAAGCATAAAGATTTCCATGAAAGAATATGTATTTGTATGAGTTTACTTCCTATAAAACCTCAATATATGAGGAATCTTGGAAAGTGAGAATTAACACTATCTCCTCTATTCAACCTCTTTAATACTGCTAAATTTTGCTCCAATCTGAGATGAGCTCTTATTCTCACTTTACCTCATGGAATTGACTCCCTCTCGGCTTCCATTTTCTGAGTGCCTCGATTAATTAAAATAAGTAAATAAATAAATAAATAAAGCAAGACCAAATCTTGTGAGCACTGAAATAAAAAACCTCTCATTTGCAATATTCCCTTATAAATCTGAAATCTGGGCTCTTATCCCTTATTCCAGGGCAGCTTATATATTTTGCATTTAATAGCTATTCCATAACATGAACAAACAACATTAGAAGTTGGGAATAAAACTCCGGACTCTGCAACCCAGGTCCATATCACTTAGCTAGTCACACTTCTTTTGTGCTGCTCTCTCTCAGTCCCCAGGACTCTTGCCTTCTTGGCTGAGGAGTCTACAGACTTTCTGGTGACTAAGAGGTCAGGTGGGGTTAGGTGGATCTTTGGTTTAGGCAGCTAAATTGTGCCTAAGTCCCACTTTAAGCACCTAAGTGTTTTTGTGGATCTGAGCCCAAGTTTAAATAAACTCGTATTTCTTTCCTACAGACACATTCCGCAGGCTCAACAACTCTCTCCCCCAGCCAATGAAACCAATACACCACACAGAAGAAAAAGTATTTGAGATGCGAGATCAGCATCAGAAAACAGAAGGCAGCTCACTGGGGAGAAATAATAAATAAATAAATCCAGCAATAAGCTAGACAGCTACAGATTGTTTTGCAGAACTACTGCAGTACCAAACTCCCTTGCAAAAGTTAAATGTGCAAAACAAGAATGAACTCTCTGCTCAGCCAGGTTCATGGCCGTTAAAGGCTAGAGATAGACATTCAAAAAGCCTGAGCCTGAATTGATTCAATCTTTGCAGGTTAGTCTAACCTGGCCAGGCTGAACTGGTTTCTTACAGTACAGACATCACCTCTGGGCTGAAGAAATGGAGGCACATGCCTGCAGTGGGTCAAGCTAGAAGCTGGGGGGTACTAGAGCACCCTCCTGTTCCTTCCACAGGGCTGAGCTGAAGAGGGGCAGTGGGTGGCCAAGCCCCGGCAGGACACACTGGTTACGGAGAGGTTCCCCCTCCTTCTAACCAGCCCGTCAGGGAGTTGATAATACTGTGTTTATCACCCCTAACTCAGTGTTTATCACCCTATCAAGAAAACAAAAGCCTCTCTCATTAGTGCAAGCTCTTCTTAAATAACTTTTTCCAAGGAAGGAATGGAGGGACATTACCAGCTAACCTGTTGATTAGCTCCAAAAAGCCCTAAGGGGACACTATCCTGTCTGCCTTTGTCCTATCTGCCTTACACAGGCACCTCTCAGCATTAGCTAGCATACCACATGCTGGCTATGGTCCGTGCTGTGGAAGAGGGGAGGGGGGGGGAATCCCTGCTTGAGCAGGGAGTGGTGAGGGGGGTTAGGGCAAAGGGAAGCCAGGCAGAGGGGTGTGGAGGAGCACAGAGCCCCACCCAGGGCTGCAAATCATCTGGAATGCTGGGGGACTCTTAAATTAAAACAGGGAGGGGTCCGGGACAGACACTGCATAAACCAGTTTGAGCCAAATCAGTTAAGTCTGATACTGCACTCAACCAGGTTTATCTCAAACTGATTTCAGCCATTTTCAAACTGGTTTATGTGCACTGAACATCTCTTCTGTTACAGGTGTATCCCAGTTTCTGGTCATTTAAACCGGTTTGTGTGTAATGTCTGTCCCTAGCCAAAATGGAGGTGGAATCTGGGAGACATAAAGGAGCTCAAACCAAGGAAGAATGATGAGCAGGGATCCTGGTTTTCTCTGATAACCCCCCCCCAATTTTTGGATTAAAAAACATAACCCAAAATCTACATTTTTCCATGATCAAAATGAAACACTACTAATATATAGATAATTGGAAGTTTTGTTTTGTTTTTAGAGAAAACCAGGATCCCTGGTGATGAGCAACTGGAGGAACAGACTGAAACTGAGATGCATTTTCCACTCCAGAGAGTGGCACCCGAGGTCATTGCTTGCAACAAAGCCCCACCATGGGCTGCACCCTTGCATCCTGCAATTTGCAGATGCAGCAAGGGGAATAGATAAAAAAGGCAGGCGCTAGAACTCTGGGGATGCCTCTCCAGGAGCAGCTGAGAGAATAGACTGAATTTACAGGCAATAGGACCCTGGGGACCCCTCCTCTACCACTGTGGCTGCAGCTGCCCAGAGCCTGGGCTGGCTACAAATAGCTGCGCCGGGCTCATTACCTACGTGCCGGGAGCGGGGGAGAGACCGGGGCTGTGCTGCCTCAGGCCCCTCCCCCACAGCCTGCTCCAAGGTGCGCCTGTACTTGCCGGTGAGGAGCTGATGCTGAAGCCTGGCACAGCTGTTTGGAGCCTCCTGGCTGCAGTCAGCCCCAGCTCTGGGGAGCTGCTGCCAGCCGGGATCCCGGGCTGTTCCCAGCAGTTAGCTGGGATGCTGCAAGCCTTGCTGGGAGCAGCTTGGGCTCTGTCGCTGGCAGCAGCTACCTGGAGCCAGGGCTGGCTGCAGCATGCCAAGCAAAATGGCCTTGAGTGCCACGCTTGGCACACATGCCAGGGGTTTCCGACCCCTGTTATAGGTAGTCAAGATGCGCATTCAATGGTTGCCAGCATGGAGCTGGTATTGGGGCTCCAGAACCCTGGCATCAGCTCTGTGATGGTGGTGACTGCACGTGCACCTTGGGGCACACAGCAGGGGACAGGTTGGGGTTGTACTACCTCAGGCCCCTCCCCCACTGTCCATCCACATTTGTGTGCACAGCTGCCTCTGGTACAAAGCCCAGCTGGGGCTCTGGAGCCCAGTGCACAGAGGCAGTGTTGGGAGGGGTTTGGGGGGCTATTCCCACCCCAAAATTCGCCTTATCTCCCCCGTAGCCACCCCTCCAGTGCCACCCGGGCCACCAGCAGCCTGCTTTGAGCCCAGTCCCCACACTGCTGGAAGTGCCACACCTTTGCGGGCTCAGCTGCATGGGGTGGGCAGGCAGCAGTCATGCTACAAGGGGGGTTAAGGTGAATTTTGGGGTGGCTATAGCCCCCTCAAACCTCCCCCTAGTGCTGCCCCTGCATATGGCTGACGGGCAGACTCCACGCCAGGGCTCTGGCAGACTACCCTGCAGCCTGGGGGCTGGCTCCCCGGGGAAGCACAGGAGCTGTGGTGGGCCCGGGGCATTGTTGGGCTAGTCTTTGTCCTGAGGCCCTGCAGCCCAGCTATGTGTGTGCATGTATGTGTATGAATGTGTGTCTGGTTCTATATGCGTGTGTCTGGTAATGTCTGCATGCATACGTGTGTGTGCATGCATGTCTAGTTCAATTATCAATACAATGCAACCCAAAACACAATAGTAACGTAGGTATGTTTTGACATCTA